CTTGGACTCTACTCCACATTTGTGGATCTGACGAAAGCATTTGATACTGTCTGTCGCAAAGGGCTGTGGAAGATCATGGCAAAGTTCGGCCCCGCAAAGTTCGTCGTGGTGGTCCAACAGTTCCACGTTGGCATGACAGCAAGAGTGCAAGACGATGGCGTGTACTCCCAGCCTTTCCCCGTCACTAATGGAGTGAAGCAGGGCTGCGTGCTGGCCCCCACTCTGTTCAGCATGATGTTTTCAGCTATGCTGACCGACGCCTACCACGACGGAGATATCGGTGTCGGTTTTCGCTACCGCACTGATGGAAAACTCTTCAACCTTCGGAGGCTGCAGGCGAGGACTAAAGTCCATGCAGGCATAACCCGCGATTTCCTCTTTGCGGACGACTGCGCGCTGAATACCAGTACTCTGTCAGACATGCAGGGAAGCCTGGACCGTTTTTCTAAAGCCTGCGAAAATTTTGGCCTCATTATCTCCACAAAGAAGACCGAAGTTCTGTACCAGCCAGCCCCATCGACTCCTTACGAAGAGCCCCATTGCACCATCTACTACCAGAGACTGGCAGTGGCAGATAAGTTTGTCTACCTTGGCAGCACCCTCTATCGTTCGGTCAATATCGATGAGGAAGTGGCCTGCAGAACTGCTAGAGCCAGTTCAGCCTTCGGTAGACTGAAAGACAAGGTCTGGGAGCGAAGAGGACTGAGCCTTAACACCAAGCTCAAAGTGTACAAAGCAGTAGTTCTGCCATCCCTGCTCTACGCCTGCGAAACGTGGACAGCGTACAGCCGGCATGCCAAGCAGCTCAATGCCTTCCACATGAGATGCCTCAGGACACTGCTTCGTATCAAGTGGCAAGACAGAGTCCCAGACACTGAGGAACTACAGCGGGTCCAGACGGAGAGCATTTACGCTATCCTACGGCGCTCTCAGCTCCGATGGGCCGGCCACGTTCACCGCATGGACGACTCTCGCCTCCCAAAGAGGCTACTCTACGGTGAACTGACCCAAGGCAAACGCTCTCTCGCCGGACAAAAGAAACGCTTCAAAGATGCTCTGAAAGCATCCCTGAAAAGTTGTGACATTCCCCATACCACCTGGGAAGAAGCTGCTCGCGACCGCACCGTTTGGCGCTCCTTAATAAGATCAAGTGTGGCGAAATTCGAAGAAAGTCGCGTCCGAAAGAAAGAATGGAGACGGCAGCTGAGAAAAGACCGAGAGAGCCCTACCTTCCAGCCTAATTCAGCCCCAAATATCCCCTGCCCCCACTGCGACAGACATTTCCGTGCGAAGATCGGCCTGATCAGCCATCTACGCACACACCCCACCCCTCCAGCGATGTGAAGTCAAGGTCATCTTCGCCAGCGAAGGACGAACATCATCATCATATATATATATATATATATATATATATATATATATATATATATATATATATATATATATATAAATATATATATATATATATATATATATATTTATATGTATATTTATATATATGGTGTATATAAATATAATATATATACATATATATATATATATATATATATATATATATATATATATATATATATATGCACATTTTATATATATATATATATATATATATATATATATAATTATTATTATTATTATTATTATTATTATTATTCAAGTAGACATCTCCATGCTTAACAAAGAACTTTCTTTCACTTTCAGGGCCGATGCATATAATATAAAATAGCGTCGTCCAAAAGAAACTTTACAAATGTAATCACCCAAATCATCGTATTAAAGCCTTGCACCTCCCCCTCAAGCAGCATACCTATTTAAAGCTGAAAAAATTCTGCACCATTTGCCACATTAATATTTCGTTCATGTTGAGAGACGCCCGAGATATGGTCACTCAAAATTGACCTTAATTTTTAAAAAAAAAAAGGCTTTGCAAATTTGTGCGAAATCAAAGAAATGCAAAAGTGTGTTCGTGCTAATATTGAAGATCATCAACATTGGTGGATTGGACATATATTAAATATCAAATAAAAAGAGAATAATATTACTGTTTCTGGAATGACCAGCATCTTTTGAACATATTTTCAAACAGATTGGAGAACAGAGCAGTAACCACAACCACACAAAACCTGAACAAAACCATAACATGTGCTCATAAGTATCAATTTTGTTATTATTTAGGAGTAGGAGCTAATGGTTTCGTGTCGAGAACGAAACCATTTTTGCACATGGATTGTGTTAGATTTTGGACATAATCATCTGTCAGTGAGAAAGAGAAGCCATGAAACTGCCAAGGGTTTGAGTGGTCTGGTGTGGAATTAACAAAACCACCCTCATGAGAATCACCGGATAGCTTGGTTTAGTATACTACATCGCGCAAGTGCTGAAACGTCAGGTCTTACCCAAATTTTCGTCATTGTGTCATTCAAGTAGACATCTCCATGCATAACAAATAACTTTCTCACAGGGCATATAACAATAGATAATTCTTGGAAAAACAAATTAAGTCAACGTTGGAGTGGTCACCAGTAAATAGCCCCGATACGAATCCTACACGTATGTGAAGAGTGAAATACCATGAGACAGCAGCAGAAGAAAGGCGACTTTGTTCCCAATTCAGATACCTTGTCTGCAACTCTCTGCGACAATTTGGATGAAATTATTGATAATTATGTCCAACATTTAATAGGGTCGATGCCCAAAGTGTTCCTGCACTACACAAAATTAATGGCTCCTAAGCAAAATACAAATAACCACATTTAGTGCTTAGTTCAAGATTTGCATGGTAATTGTGATTGCTCGGTTTTCCATTTTGTTTGAAACTATTATGACAAAAATATCAAAATAGAATGCTTTTTATTGCAGTACAAAATTATCCATTCATTGAATATATAATGTATGTCCATTCTTTCAATATTGAAGCTCCTCAATGCACGAGCGAAGACAATTGATTTCGCACAATTTTGACAAACCTGATTTTTTCAGGTCAATTTTAAATCTCGGGCGTCTCTTAACATAGATGAGGTATTCATGAGTCAGATAATGCAGAATTTATTTATCTTCAAATTGGCACTCTGAATGAGTAGGTAATGCGAGGCTTTAACACGACGATAAGGTGATTACATTTTCAAGTTTCTTTTTGACGATTTTTTTGACAAGTGTCTGACATCACCATGCTGCCGTATATATA